CGCTTACAAACATAATTAGGCTAATCCTTTTGATTAGAGAACATGATAGGTTGAACCAAGTTTGAAGAATTAAGAGAACAATTGATACGCATAGTAGACTAGTAAGGCGTAGCAGGGAGAGGTGTTTTGTTTCCTTTACAGGAGATTTCCGGACCACAGCAAAAATCACCAAGGGGTTGGCAAGAATGCAGGAAGCCCCAGACCGAAGGGAACCACAAGAAAGGGGCACCCAGAAGAAGCACCGAGAACCACAGTTCCAGAAAATGTGTTGTTTAGAAGATTAAAAGCTCGTTAGACACAGGTTAAATGTGAGCATAAAAGTAATGAAGAGTAATGAGAAGGACTTTAGTCATAGTTTGCAGGATTTCTATGTTATGTAAATTGCCCAAAAATAGTGTTAAGGCCGGATTTGTGTTCCCCGTAGAGGGGGTGGAGTAAATTTTTAAAGAGGAAACGGGTTAACTCTATAGAGGCTGTTTCCAAAGAGTGACAAAAGTAGTGTAGGACCTTTTACCAGAAAAGCTGAGTATATCTGTTTTTAGTTCACTGTAGTTATTAAGGGAGTCAGTGAATAAGGTTAACTAACAGAAATATGGTGAGCTTTCTGGGGGAAAGGTCAAGAGGGGGTCTGTTGGGATTTAAATATATATATTCTTAGTGCTTATTGTCTGATTATATTGTTTTATGTATGTCAGACCCACACGAGAACTATGTTAAGGGTGACAGGTTGCCCTGGCAACAGACTTTAGAACGAGGAAGTGCAAAGCTGCACCGGAAATTTGACACAAAGAAAAGAGGAACTTGTACCATATAAGGAGTTGTTTGTATCGAAACTGTGTGTGACGTGCTGCAAAATATATAGCGAGATGGGCTGCTGATGCCCCGGACTTGGGCTGGCGTGTTTGTGTGTCTGCTCAGTCTCCATATTCCGGAATATGTAAAATTAAAGATCATTTTTGAGTTAGACCACTTTGAGCCGTGTCTTTCTTTGCCGTTAAGAGAATACAAAAGAACTGAATTTAATACATGGCATGGTAACCATGGATGGCGACGGCCACGCAGAGCGGCACGGAGGCCCAGGCTATAGGCAGCTGGCTGAGGCATGTGGCAAATGAGAATGGGACCAGAGATTGCGGACGACTGCGCATTGGAGAGAGTGATTGGGGATGAGCAGAGAGGTCTGTGTTGGTGCTGAGGGGAGGTAGCTCCTCGCCGAGAGAGGCCCATGGCAGGCGATTGAGAGGCAGCGGAATGGCACCTTATGTCCCTGGCAGTGATGCCGGTAACGCATTACTTAGTATTCAGAGTATTAGTGTAGAGGCTAAGCCTACGCTTGAAGCCACTGAGGTGGTCGTTAACGGGGGGTGACGCGATGTCACTGGTATGCATGAATTAAGTAAACAGTCCAATAAATCCAGCAGTATGTATCTTGTCCTTTTTGGTCTTTATTCTGTATCAACTTAACATAACAGCGCAACGGTCACAAACTGTTTGCCTTCCTACAATTAATGACACACCTGACACCAATTACATGCGTCTACCTTAAATACCTTTACATGATCAAAACAGAAAAAGGTGACCTCTAGCGACCACATAAGGTATTAACCCAAGAATGGCTCCTACAAAGCCTGTCACAGGACCTGATGTGGAGAATAGATGACTTCAAATGTTCTGTTAGCAAGATGTCAGGTAGCAATGAAGTGAAAACAGAATAACTAAATGAACATATCATAAATAATAATAAGAACAGCTGTTAGGAAGCTGGAGTTTATGGAGGAAACCCACACAGATGCAAACTCCAGACAGAATCAACTCCACCTGTGATTCAAGAATAGTGCAGCACAAATCAAGGACACACAGAAAATGATATCATTAATATAAAAATGAATGTGCCTATAAAAAGTAAAATACTAGAACTTAAATTAAACAACAACTTGATGGTTCTTTGATAATAAATAACATAAAATGTTCTAGTAACACATGATGTATCAATAAAATGAACACAGAAGCACTAAATGAGCAGATCATAAATCAACAATCAGGAAAACAGCTGCTTATGAAGTTCCCACTGTGCTCTTTCTCTGAACTTCTTGTTTCCTCTTTGCCGTGTGAAGTTTCATGAGAACATGAATCAATCATAAATCTGCTGAAAGGAAGACTTCTGGCTCAAACCACAGGCTGTGTTCCCTCTTCTCTATGTGGCTCAGTCAGAAATCATGAGGTCCTTTAATTTCAGTGCATAAAAAATTCCTGAAGCAGAAGAGAAAGTTAGAAATTATATTTTAAGTAGTTTAAAAGTGATTCAATTTTTTACAGCTCGTTTTATTGAACAGATAATAAAGACATTACAGTGGAATAAAATACATAAAATAAAAATAGAAAATCAAGATTTATGTGTCATACACAGAGTTATCATGGTCTTGGCAAACATGTCACTGACACGGTCAAAATAAATCGGTATTACACAAAAGTACGGGGCGGACCTCCCCGAGAAAACTGGGAAAACTCCGCTACACAGTAAAAAGGCTGCTGAGTGTAACACTGATGAAGCGCTAATGAATTAATACAGGCTCGGTATTGAGTGAAATATTAGGTTATTATTAATCAGAAGATTTAGGAATGCTACTGGAGCTGATGGGCAGTAATTAATAAATACACCCAACACAAAATGCTTTTCCAGGTACCATGTATTTAACCGAAACCAAAGAAAAATAACAAGAAAAGAAAAGGAAAACTTAAATAATTACTCCTGCTGCAGCTATTCAATGAATCAAAAACCCAGTGGAGGTGCACAAAGACAACTAAGCAAATTCTTCTGGCTTATACCCAGCAATATAGATTCTCAAAAAAATTTCCCATAAATAACACATGTTAACATCAAAAACACTGATCCACACTGAAGAGGAGAAAGTCCGTGAGTTTTATCTGAATGTCCATGAGAGATGTCTAAGCGCTCTTGTCCATAAATGGGGGTAATGGGGTGTATGATTGTGGAAATCAGTGTATTCAGAAAATGGGGACAGAGCGTTGTCTTTGATAACTTCCTACCCGATCAGTGGAAGCTTCAATGCAGAATGATTCCTGCTCCTAGCCGTTCATTGGCTCGCCATCCTTTTTTATACCCAAAAAGGTTCACCTGGCCAATTCCATTCTGTTCAGTGCGCAA